CTTCTTCTTAGCACTCAATGAACCACTTCTAAAAAAAGTAAGCATCTATGATTTTTGTTCTCAGTTTGATTACACAGCCGCTCTACTAAGTAACTATTTATAATTTGCTAGTTAAAGTTGATAATTTTCCTCGTTTTTATAAGCATTTACCTCTTTCGATGGAGCTTATTTTATAAATATTGATTCTGGAGAGTCAGACACAGTCAAAAATATGTGCGTGGTAGTCAGATCCGATAACAGGCAGACAATTAAATTAGTAGTTAGCTTTTGAAGTAGTTACCATCTGCTAACCAGGGTATCGAATTCTTCATCGCTCTGGCTTGGTAGGCTGCTATATCTGTATTCCTATCGGCGTCACACGGTTCCTTTGTTGTGTAACTGTATTTACACTTTCATTTTACGATTTTTGGTATTTAAGGGGTTTCGCATGTTGTCCTAGCTAAACTGCCAACCAACTGTAGTGAGAGTTATGGTCACCTCAGCGGTACCTATTGGTGCAAATTGTTATAGTGATAGTAGTAAGAATGATTATTGCCATTAGGATTGATGTTATTGTTCCAGTTCGGGCACTATCAGTGGCCTTTTCTTCTATCCAGTAGCCAATAAACTTCATTTCCTCAAAAATTCCTGTGCTAACTTCTTCTGGTGGCATACCGGCATCTTTGATGCCCTGATAAATGACAGCCTTGGTATCGTGTGTGATCTTCGATTACTAATGGTAGCTATAAAATAGCTGCCTCCATGTTGTTTTGGAAGCAACCAGCTAATCCGGCATGCCACAAGGGTTTAATTTTTTATTTATTGAGGATTGCTCTTAGCTTCTTAAAATATTGAAGTAGATGTTGTTGTAACCAGCTAATTTCCCTCTTCTGCGCCGAGTAAAATAAAAGACCAACATCTATAACCCCCTTCGGCCGTTCATTTAAACTGGCCGTAAAATAATCGAGCTATGTCTAATCCAGCATGCGTCAAAACCCTTTTATTACAGAAAACGTTTCGGATTGACTCGATTTTGCTTTGAAATCGATGACATTTTCAATTTCCACCATATTATCCTGACTGGCTCTAGAAAATCTATTGCCTCAACTGATTCTGCAATGAGCAGCGGAAGACTATCCGATGATGGCGTCATCGTCGTAGCTTTATCGGGTTTGACCCTTAGTTTAGTTCCTAGATGTGTATCCTCGACTCTGAGACGGCCGAATCGCTCATCTCCTAACTGAGAATTTCACGGACTTTGGATTAGTAAAATTTCAGTATTAAACGTATTTCAGGAGGACCTCGGACTCCGTAACTCCTACACTGAGGCCGATTCAAGGTTCTCCTCATTGTAATCCGCTGTCATCCGCATGAACCCTTTGTCTTCCTTCCTTCGCGATTGTCGGCTCAACCCTCGGCGGGTTTATTCACGAACTTAAAATCCCTGCGCATTTTAAGTGGCTTGAAATCTTTCTCTTCTCGTTAGCCTCATATAAAATTTGACACTTGTGTGGTTGGTGTCAGAATGTTTCACTCACCAGTTATTTAAATTGCAGCATGCTCAAGATTCTGGATGTTTATCTGGTCGACTGAACTCAGCTATTCGTTCGGAGCACATTTACTTTAACCTGTGACGGTATCCATCGCCGGTTTGGCCGGCCCTGTGTCGCGGGCTCATGCCATCTCGGGTGGTCGCCTTCTGTGGCAATCGGTTGACGATAATCTTGAACCGGTTAGCACCTCACATCCATAGATCGAAAATCGTGGGGTTGAAAATGCGCGGCGAGGTAGAAATATACCACTTCCGTGCACTCTTGCATTCGTCACCCAGGGCCGGATTTGCGGGCCGGGACACCCCACGCCATTCTTGTTGACGCATAAGTTGGTGACTGACATCCGCTACAATTTGGCCTCCTTCCGACTTCATGTGTTATTGATGTTCATTTGGTCTGTCTGTAACTTGTCCTCCTCTGGGAGGATCCATTTTGCCCTTCACCTTATTTCCGACCGGCCGATTTGATGCCACCGTCTCTAAAAGAGGTGTGTATCTGTGTCGGTCCGTTACAATTAATTTGGATGTATATGAAGGGTCCAATAAAACTGATGTTTTCTTCTCCTGTCTAAAAAGTGCGTCTAAATGGCGAATCGAGGGTGTCTATAAATACCAGTCGCTTACCTAATCGAATCCGGACGTCACGAACGTTAGGAATTTTCGGGTATAACTGGACAAGTCTATGATTCGCAACTGTAAGCCAGAGTAGGGCTGTTGCAAAGCCAGTCTCGAATTCCAACACCGGTCTTTGCTGAAATTTGACTATGCTCCACCATCACTCCATGCTTTTAACTGTCTATACACTTTTAATTTTTGTATTAAGCTTACTTATCTAAGGAGTTCTTTATCCTGTGTCGTTTTTGTCCATTTACTGTGTCTTAACTGTAAATGCATCCACTTATGCTTCATTCTGAAGTTATCCTGGTTCCTGTACCTAACTCGAGATGTTATTCTCCATCCAAGCTCAACCCTACCATTACTCGCCCCGTGGAATGGACCGTCAAGGATATTGCTCCCATCGGCACTCCCTGGAGTGAAGTCATCGATTTTGCTCTTAAGCGAACTAAATACTCCACCGACTGCATTGGAATCCTTCTGCGAGAGGTTAGTTGTGTTATATCCATTTTAGTAATCCCTCGATTGGCCATATTTGTTTGGTCGCTTTTTATCCCTTAACAGCTACTTAGAGCCAACTTTCTTGCTGTCTGGCCAATCCTTTTTATAACTGTCCGTATATCCCTGTGTGCCCCTAGATGCGTGCCCTGTCTTCAAGTCCCAATGGACCTAGCAGTCTCCTTCTCATTGATGGCGTTAATTTCCTCTGGTGTCGTGGAACTCGAATGCAAGATAAGGTCCTTCTGAAAAAAGTGGCTGTCGACCGCCTGGCCATTGTCCACCATCTTCGTCGGGCCCTGATAGGTGACTGGCAGAAGGGTGCCATCGTTACCTCAGTCAATGAGAGAGCCGCTTGGCCATCGGATAGGGAGAAGTACACCCCTGGGTAGGTCCATTTATCATAATGAATACGCCCTGAAATCGAAACCTTGCTTTTAACGGAATGAAGTTGAACAAGGCAAAGATGCCGAACTTTACTGGCATCATAAATACTCCTGACCCCATATTAAATTGTGTTCACGGTCATTGCATATTAGTCATTCAATATTGAGTAAGAAAATGGCCGGAGGCGATCAAATGTGATAGTTAATAAAAACAGGCTCATAATGCGAGATAGGGATGGAAGTTAAGACGTAATTGCGGTTTCACAGTGTGCGACATGAGTCTGATACTTTGGGGGTCACGAAATCTTGTGACGCCATTAAGGCCCACATAATTCGTCGCAGTTGGCGGATCTTTACGAGAAAATGCAACTCTGCTTCATTGAGCAGAATACACGAACTATCTTAACCGTTCTTTGGGAAGCAAGTCAACTTGTTGCTGAGTCCGCTGGTTCATTCTACATGGCCTACGGGCGTATTTTACGTCTCGACGATTGCGCTGTTCTCTTCTGTGCCTGATCGATGTATTCTTGCCAATTCCGTGCCTTGAGAAAATTTGACTTTTCGTCCATTTTTGGGCAGCCGCGATACTAATTATCAATATAAACTGAAAGTATGGTTGCTCGTCGCTCGGCATTTATCCCTAGAGTTCGTATAGGCCACACTAAATACCTGGTTATGGCTGCAATGCAAAAAATTTTCACCACACTACTGTGCTCGGTCAGCACATTGTACTCGCTCTGGCCTTCAGTAACCGCAGCATGTATTTTCGCGTCTTTTCCCTTTCCTGCATATGTACAGTAGATTCTCTATCTCATGAAACGTGAACCGAAATTCTGAAATTTGTTTTTAATTTGAACAAACTACTTCAGTATCGTGCAGCCTAATCTAAAGAAATTTCATTCAGTTAAGGGTATCGCCCCTTGAACGAACTTCTTTCGTACAGCCTGCAAAAATTAAATTCTGTAAAAAACGTCTGCCTACGTAGTATGCATTTTTCTCATTGATTTTCATTGCCCTTCTGAATTCAAGCATATTTCATAGAAAACATGCACAAAAATATTCCTTTCTTGTACTCGTTTGGTAGAAAACTGCACCTCCAAATTTTATAGTTTCTAATTATGAGATTTTTTACGACCTTGAAATTTTCATCTATAGTACATTGTATCCGTCAATTTATTAATGTTGTCTTTAAAACATACAACACGATTCACGACCATTGCAACATTTTATGAGAACCCTGTGACCTTTTCCTCATACTGTAGGGAAATATCTTCGTTTTCTTTGACAGAATGTATACAGCATGTAATATGGTAACCTTGAATTCGGTAATTTGGAAGAACTTTTAAGACCGAAAGCTATCCTTTTTCGGCTATACATTTTGAGCAAGATGCAGTTTGCCACCAAACGAGTAGAAGAAAAATATTTTTGTGCATGCTAGCTGTATAATATTTCCGAATTTAGAAGGGCAATGAAAAGCAGTGAGAAAACTGCATACTACTTAAATAGCCATTTTTCAACACACAGTTTCGCGGGCAGCCTAAAAAAGCTCGTCAAAAAGGCGGTATCCTAAAGTGAACGAAATGTTTTGAGATTAGCCTATAAGATAATCAATACTATAACCCTATATAAGTATTTTTGAATCTAAAACAGACTTTAAATTTTCGAGGAAAGGCGTTCTTTTAAAAAATGAGTAAATTTATTCAGTAACTTTTCGACACTGGATCCCCAGGTCGTCGTCAGACTTGAGAAAAATTTGCAAAGAATGGGCACATTTTTTATCAAGCCTGACGACGACCTGGGGATCCAGTGTCGAAAATTTACTGAATAAATTTACCCCTTTTCCCAAAGGACGCCTTCCCTTGAAATTACATTTCTTGGGATGTCTGCCTTCCAGTTTATACGAGACTTTAGAATTTCACTTAGCATTTTATGAGATAGGAAATATACTGTATTCCACGAGACCATGTGGAAAATAGCAGTGATTGGAGTTCCTACTGTTGGCTCTCCATTATCTTGAAGAGGTTGCTCCTTTAGAATTATAGCAAATACAGTGAGTTAGGCCGCTAAGACTGTTAGAAACCCCTGAAAATGATTGCGTATTGTCTTCTTATTCGTTGACCGGACGGGGGGATGTTTGACCTTAATCTGGCTCTTGCTAGTCATTCCAAATAAACAGCTCAAAATCCGTCTCTCTGCTGTTTTTTGTCAGGTACCTACTTACCAAGCGTGGCTTTGAAACGATGGATCCCTTCATCCCTATTCATGTGGGCAACTACACTCCCTCGGAACTGGATGCAGTTCTCCAATTCTACGCCGAGCATGGTTGGTTTACCAATCCCGCCGCTTTTACACTAGAGGGTAGGGCGGAGATTGTCTTCCTGGCTGATAGCAACCCTCGTGAACTGTCGAAGGTCGCAGCTGAGTGGTAGAACATGTTCCTACTCGACATTTCACCCCACCTTGTACAAAAACCAGTTTTTCACCAATGAAATATTTCCTACCAGGCACTGTTCTATGGCTTTTTAGTGTTGAGGTTTTCTTTCCGGGAGGTTTACTCGACTTTGTCCGTTGACTACTATTTTTCTGCAGGATTAATTCGAGTCCAATTCTTGTCGTTGTCATGTATTAAATTTTACGGATACTCTTCGCTAAAATGGACGTCTCCTTAATTCGCCGACAGTCCCACAGGCCTTTTCTGTGCGGAACAGAATTGAAATAGAGACCTTTTGGCGGTCGCATCACATAAAATGGTCGGGAAGACCGTCTTTGTTATGATAAGCTTTGGCGCAGTCTCCTCGATACAATGTAGGCATAATTTTCAGTGAAAAGATTACTGCTGCTTGACCAAGAGCTGTTATTATAACGATATAATTAGTCGACACCAACCAGTGTTATCCACTTGTATGGAGAGAGACGAACGCATGCGAGCACAGCACATTTTAGATGGGGAACACGAAACATCTGATTTCGACTACCAGCCTTACTCCCTGTCGCCAGCAGTGTTTGCCGAGGATGCTTAGTCTCTGCGTTTTAATTCAATTTCCCCGTCGAGGAAATTATAAAAGAGGCAGTCTGGACTTTTCGAATATTTTCACCAATTTATTCCCGAAATGCAAGTTTTAACGCATGCCATTCATGGATGGACGGTGTATCTTACATGTAGTTACGGCAGGCATGCTATCACGTGAAATGTTACTCGAAATTCTGAAGTGTATTTTCGATTAGAAAATATTACTTAAATAGTTTTCCAATGTTTTCTTGTGGGGCCACCTTATGGTAAAAGCTTTCCTGTCCAAGTTTCTTACGGAATTCGTGGTTAAAGGAGAATCAAAGGGTGGGGCAAACCAGGGGTCGTACAAGTGTGTGAAAACTGCCCAATAAAAAAGAAATTAAAGCCTTTTGTAATAGTTTTACTGAACTGAAAATTTAGGTGAAAGGTTGCGGAAAAGGCTGAAAAAGAAGCCGATAGACCAAGCAAACCATGAGACCAGAACCAATTGGTTAACATGGTAACAGTAGCTTAAGTAGCCCCAATCATTAATCCCTACAACCTGTATGTTTTCCTACGAAAACGGTGTTAATCGGGCTTTATGGGCGGGAAATTAGGACACGCGGTGAAATTTACTTTAATAACTGCCAAATGCATTTTTTAAATTTTATTGTAGGTAGAAATGTTGTTGATTAATATCTGTAGATTTTTCTCTTCTTTATTATCAACTAACTTATTGCGGAAAACCCCT